AATAGTTCTCTTAAATAAAGGATAATTTTGCAGACTTTTCACACTCATGGGTAGTTTATTCCAAATAGCAATTGCATTTACAGAATAGAACCGACGATATTTAACAGCACGTGCCAGAGGCAGAAATAAGAAGACCTCACGGTGACTGTTACGTCGTGGGTGGATATGATGTCTTAAAGAGGTAAGCGGGTTAAATGTGTGATTATATAAGAGTTTAAATAGCAAAAATAGTCCCTTTTGTAATCTGCGGAACCATAGAGGATCAAGAACTGTAAGCCGGCAACGTTCTTGGTAAGACAAATGTCGGTGTTCCGCGGCTAAAATTCTCTTGGTACCACTAAATCCCAGGAGGACCCTTCTCGAACTCAAGAATCGGAGTGTTCGGGAATGAGACCGTTAACAGTGCCTGTATGCTTTCCGGTGTAAGATGTTTGCGTGATTTCGACTTGAATACCAGTAACTTAGGCGATAATCTAATTTCAGGCGGAAGATTATTCCAAAGGAAGGCATATTTGGAGGCAAAGAAGGGGGTGCGCTTAGATGTAGTACAAAGAGGCGGCGGAATCACCATGCAGGAGTTGCGCGTGGCCTAAGACCGATCTCTCGGAGTGAGAGTGTCAATGAGCGGAAGACTGGAGCTAGAGTTGATGCGAAAATGGAAGCAAAGGCCAGCTTCGAGTCTTCTAACCCACAAAAACTTAATGCTCGCCAGCTGACATCTCTGAGTATAAGAAATACCGGACGAAGCTTCAGAGAACAGTTTCCGGGTGAAAACCCTCTGAACATTTTCGATTTTATTACGGTCGCAGGCGTTCATTAAACCGAAGAAAGGACAGCAGTATTCGAGGACTGGAAGAACGAACATTTGATAAAGTCTTAGCTTCATTTACGGAAGGAAAAAATTATGCGATATGAATCCACATATCTGCGCGACTTTGGCAGAGATTCTATCTGCATGAGGTGATAAAGCAAGTTTATTTGTATAACTTAGACCTAGGTCCTTTATGGTGAGGCATTCTGAGAGTGGATTATTCTGAAAAATTATGGGACCAGGAAGTTTGGCAGGACCAAAAGACATGAAACTACACTTTGATGATGAAAACTCCATTTGCCACGTTGAGCCCCATCTGCTTAAGCTTAGCAAATCAGAATTAATTTTTTCAACACAAACATTTGCGGTGTCCTTAGAGTATGAGTAAACAAACTTGAGGTCATCGGCATAAGTAAAAGTTTGCGAATTTCCGAGTTCAGTCGAAATATCATTGATGTAAAGAAGGAAGAGTAGCGGACCCAGGACCGTGCCTTGAAGTACGCCACTCGTGATTGAGTGGGGTGTCGAGTAGCTATTACCGACCATGACTTTCTGATATCGGTTGGACAGATAGGACCTGATGAAGTCCAGTAGAGGCGGCCAGATGCCGAGAGCTTACAATTTTACTAAAAGTCGTCTATGGGGCACCTTGTCAAAGGCCTTGCTAAGATCAAAGTAAATAACTACCACTGACTGCCGCTCATTACGAAGAGAAGTGATTAGATTAAGAAAAGCCAAGTGACATGTTTCGCAGGATCGTTCTGGTAAAAATCCATGCTGACTAGAGCTCAGAAGCCGATTAGCTGGACAGAAGTCCAGAATTTCATTGAAAATAATCCTTTCAAGAAGTTTTGCTAGAGACGGCGTTTTGTGCACGCCCCGATAGTTATTAACATCGGACCGAGATCCGGACTTGAAGACGGGAATGATATTTGACGTTTTCCATGTTTCAGGAAAAAATCCTTTTGAAATATAAACCGAGAATAGATGACTGAGCAATATGGGAAAGTCGGACGTTTGTTTGATAATCGAATTCGGAATCCCGTCCGTTCCAGAGCAGTGTGAGTATTTCAAACGGCTTATGTGTTTCTTAATGAGATCTGAGGAGACATAAATTGTACTAAGTGTCCTATCGGAAAGTGATCGAAAGAAAGGGACCGGATCGGACTCGGTAGTAAGGTGTTTTGCAAAGAAGGCACTAAACAACTCCGCCTTGTCAGTGTCATCGGTGAGGAAGACTTTGCTATCATTTAGCAGGGGTGGAAGTTCGTGACCACGCTTAGAGGAGGACCGATGACGGAAGATGTTAGCGACGGATTTGCCAGGGTTCGAACCACTGAGAGCAATTGATTCTCTTTGCCTGTCGCGCGCTTGGCGCATCCTTGAGGCCATCTCAAAAATCTCTGTGATTCTAAGATGAACTCATAAGGAAATAGTGGATGGGTCACGCAGCTGTCGCCTCAACTTTTTTAGTCTCTTCTGAAGAAAATGAAGAACAAGAGAATCTGAAGAATTAGGCTTGGCATGTCTACGCGGCACAAACTCTAGAATGTCCTTGGAAACATTGGACATGACATCAAGAAGAATGCTTGCATCGCTACAAGTGAGGAAGCCACACCAATCCAACGATCTTATATAGTTTTTTATTAAGTCGTTATCTACGCATTCGTAGTTCATGTAAGTCCGAAGGACTGTGGTCTTTTTTGAAAAGGCAAGCGGTAAGCAACAATGAATTAATACGTGGTCCTTTTTTAAACTAACAGAAAGAGGAGCAATGCCATTATATCAAAAATGGGATTATCTCTTGTTGGAGGCGAACCAGTTGGCACCAATTAGAAAAATTGACAATATTTAGAAAGGGCTGGAATCTAGATGGACAGCTTTTGGAAACCCAGTCTATTTCAGGAAGGTTAAAATCCCCAGTGATTATTTTAACATCAAAAGCAGCTTCCGAAATTAATTTAAAGATTTCACAGAGTTGTGAATCATCACTGGCTGAAGAATTTGGGGGATTGTTGATACAGCCAATAATTGCCTTTCTTTGCGGCGAGAGAATAACAGATGCAAAGCAGAAGTTTCCCGTGAATGAGGAAACATCCAAGTAATAAGGAGAGTGCTTTAGGTAGGATTTAAGATAAAGAAGACAACCAACACCACGCCTAGTCGTGCGGTCTTGGCGGTAAAAATCGAAGTCATCTATGAGAAGGGCAGAGTCAGGAATTAGAGAATGGGACCGAGATTCTGTTACACACATAATATTTGGCGTCATTTCGAGAGCAACGGCTCTGATTTGGGCCATTAATACAACTGCCCGCATTTCTACCGATCTATCACCTCTTCCTCCTCCTCCTCCTCCTCCTCCTCCTCCTCCTCCTCCTCCTCCTCCAGCACAGAAGCACTAACAGCACTCAACTCTCCACAACCTACCAGTGCTCCTCACCTTTCCTTTTAATTTGTGAAAGCAAACACATTACAGCCCTCAAAATAGGCTACGCCCGAACTCTCTTTAATGACCTTGCGTTACTGAAGTATTAACAAGCACTAGAGAGTTCATTACTTGAATGATCAAACTTACGTATATCGGTAGTTTAGATATAACGGATATCTGACCAGATTGAGGAAGAACGGCCTCAGGCGAGGGACGAAGGGATGAGGTTCCAATTTAATAGGGAACTCATGGTGACAGTTCGACCATCGATTTCGATGACGTCCACCGTGTGCCCCACAGCAGGTTGGAGCAGGGACGGTGACTTGCGCAGGGGTTTATAGTGCCAGTATACTTGCGCTGCATCTACCCACACTCGCTCCTCCTCCCCCGCCTGAGCCCGGTGCCAAGACAGAGTCATGAAGACCGGAGAAGAGGGAGGTCGCAGATGGATGGCTCGGACGGATCCTCACCTTGGCGTTCCACCACACCCCCTGGTCCACACAAAAATTGACCAGGATTTTGACCACAAAACACTGGGGTGGTGGCAGTGGTCCAGTTGTGCGACGAATGCCGACAGTCGGGTCTACCAGTGCGCACCGCAAATGTTGGCATTTGTTATTACGCACAGATAACGCCTGCCAGAGTCCGATGTGGCCCCCGTGTTGGTCCAGCGCATCTAACACGTGGCCCGTTTTGAGGGCACACACACACACACACACAACGCGACGAACTGCGTGAACCGAGAGCGGGCGTCAATCAGCAACCTTCCTATCACGACAGTTGAAGTGTCGGGATAGTCTCGGACTCAAATCACCCGTGCAGCCGAAGCCGCTGGGGACCGAGTCGAGATGCACACTTCTCACTTGCGTGGAAGGTGGCAGTTGGTGCATGCGGTGGGTGAGTGGTGATGTGTGTTGGTGATGGTGGAGGAGGGTAGGGAGTGTGTGGATGTGTGGTGTAACCGGCGGTTGCCTACCACAGGTCGTCGTGGATGCGCATGTGGCCGAATAGGCCCATGCGGTGCCTGAAAGTGCGAGGACAGTGTGGGCAGTGGAGGCGAGTGTTGTGGGTGTAGGTTGGTGCTCCAGGCACTGGTTCGCCGGTCTCTGTGCGATGGATTCGCAAGTGACCGACCAGGCCGATACGTGAGGTGAAGGTGCGATCGCAGTGAGGGCAGGTGTAGTCCTGATTCTCATTGCTGGAGTCGGGAGAGGC